CACCAGGTGTCCCTCGAGCAGATGACTACACTCCTGCTGACATAGCCTAACGGGGCATGCCCTCTTTCAGCAGCAAGGCCCATTATTAGTGCATAATTACTTTTGTCTAAAGCCAAAAAAATAAATCCCCAAATAACTGTCAAGTATATATCCTGTATCCTGGACTGTAAAATTGAATTCTTAAACTAAATTTAGCAATTTACGTCTATCCCTTAACAAAAATATCTTATCTAGCTGGTTTTGGCTCCTATGACAGATTCAGTGGATCACTCTAAATTCAAAGTCTAAAACTAGACACTACCCATGGACATACTAAATCTGTTTTCCCATCCCTCACTTTGACTAATAAACCTACCATTCTCAACAATCCTGTGGTGACAAAACATTGAGTCTCCCCATAGCTTCTCTCTCTATCTAAGTTCAATCTGTCCTCAAGTTCTAGTCTCAGAATTCTTTTTAGATGCACCTTTTTCAGTACTACTCCACTGCAAGCGCCCTAGCACTAGTACACCCTGCCTATAGAATTACACAGTCAGGGAATGCAAAGAATGAGATGTACTATTATTTAAACTCCCTTAATCCAATCCTACTAGACTGTATCTAAACTGCACAAATGATCAGTCCATAAGGAATTCCCTACCTAATACATCTTAAACGTTTCCAGTCTCTGTAAGCATTTTGAATCTCTGTAAACTTGTTCCAATAGTTTCTGTCTATTCTAACTTTTCCTAAATTTGATTTATTTGATTGTATTGACCCATTCATACCTCAGTTATAACCTGTCTGTAGCTGGCCTTAAAATAGATGTTTCCTCTTACATCTTGGATGTGAGGTGAGCATCTCAATATCTATTGATGCCTTTGGGTCACATAGAATGTAGGTTCAATGGATAGCACTCATTTTCTAAGTTGGAGAAAAGAAAATAAGAAATTTAAGGAGAAAAAGTACTGAATAATTTATTAACGACAATCCTAATGGCTAACATTTAAACAAAATTCAGTATGTGCCAAACTCTATGCCAAACAATCTTGAGCGTTGCCTGATGTGGCCCTCATGTAACCCTGATTTTACAGAAAAGGGATTTGAGATCCAAGCTATATTTGTGGTGAGATTATATAGCTTTACTCTATGATTGTATTCCTAACTTCTATACTGCCTTCAGTAATATGCTGCCTATTTTTAAAAAGAATTTACTATCGCTCAGAATGATTATAACTACACATTAAAAAATATATGCGTGTGTATATACACACATATATGCTCACACACACAGTGGAATTGAACATAATACAGACCTGGGTCACAAACGAGACAGGTTCTTAGGTTCCTTCTTACATTGAATTTGTACGTGAGTTGAAACAGGAACATTTTCCTATTTCCTGAAATAGCCTCCATTCATACGTGCGAGTCGCATGTCAGTCAGATGTTTGTAACTCAAGGACTTACTGTAATAGCCTCCATTTGTAAGTGCTAGTTATACACAAGTCAGACGATTGTAACTCAGGGACTGCCTGTGTGTGGGATCCTCATTTTAAATGTTCTTCTTCGTGCAGCAGGCAAAGCACAGGCTTCATAGACCATCTACTATACAATATTCTAGATATGTGATCTCAGGCATTTAAAATGGGGATACTAGTGTTCACTTCTTAGGGCTGTCTTGAGGATTAGAGACATTTTAATAGAGTACCTGGCAAATAGCAGATATTATTAAATGCTAACTATAATTTTTAGGCCCAGGACAAGACTATGGGTAAAATACTAGATACAGGTGGCACTAGAAACACAGTAGGTACGTAATATACAGAGGGTGTCAATAACCTATACACATTTTAAGAAAGGAAAACACTGTACTAAAATCGTACTACTCAATGTGTACTTATAACAAAAGATGAATATGCTTTCAAAAATCACGTTGAAGACCATTTGTCATTGCAGAAGTCAAGGGTGACTTGAGTATTATAAATTTAATATAGATCTTTTCCTTTCTTAAAATGTGTACACACTTTTTGGCACCCTCTGTTTATGTTAACAATTCTATCAGTTTTCAAATTTTAAGCCTACTTGTTTGTTTTCTCAGTGATTTTAAGAAATAGTTCTAAATTTACAGCCACATTTTTTATGAGGGATGGGATATGAAATAGGTTACCAACCATGATTAAATTACAAACATATATTCATTTTCCTGTTCATGGTTAAAAGCCATGCAGGTCAAGGTTAGTGGCAAGAGCAACACCCATAAACAGGCGGTAGGACTGGAAAGCTCTCCACATCCATGGCCAGCCATGGCACAGGAGCCCGAAGCAGCCTTACTGGCAGTGCCAACATGCAATTCCACCATCTGCTTTATTTTACCCCTAGAACTCTCTAACCAGAGTTGTGGGGCACAGTTACTAATAGCAATCCCATCCCCTCCTTGTATTTAACTGCATTTAGAAAATTACTTTGTATTACAGATTCCAAAAGGAAAAATATCTATATCTCATAAAAATAAAGAGACTGATATATCTGGTCCAACGTTTGGGAAAAATAATTAAGAAACATTTTTAGATTGGAATAGTTTAAAAAACTAATCCTGCACACATTAGCACTTATATAGCAATGAACATCATTTGCTGAATTAAGCCTTAACTCACAGCTTAAATACTGGATATGACTATAAAATACAATTTGAAAAATATGATTGGTTTCAACAGAACTTTTGAATATACAATCCTGATGTTGACAACAACCCAGTAGAGATGGTTACCAACCGGACTGCCACTATTGACCACACACAAGTTACTAGTTCACCAGATTCTTCCTGGTCCCTTTTCCTCATCTATGTTACCTGCTGAGGCATGTGAGTTTTTACCCTTTCAGTAAAATAGATAGCCTACAAAAGAAAATCTCATCCTGTTTTTCAACAACTTTCACCACCCATTACTTCAAATTTTTCCTTGTAACTTCTTTCTTTCGCATCTTTGTGCATGTGTGTGGTGAGAATGCTTTGCAAATTTCAAGTATACAATATAATATTATCCCTAGTCACATTACTGCATGTTCAATCTCCCAAACTCATTTATCTTCCATAACTGAAATTTTGCACCCTCTGACCTCCATATCCCCTGATCTCTCGCTCTTCAGACCCTTGGAACTACCAATCTATTCTGTTGCTATGAGGTTGACATTTTCAGATTACATGTATAAGTGACATCACGTAGTGTTAGTCTTTATATACCTGTTTATTTCACTTAGCATAATGTCTTCTAGCTTCATCTGTGTTGTTACAAATGACACAATTCTCTTCTTTTCTAAGGCTGAATGATATTCCATTGTATACACGGTCATGTGTTACTTAATGATGAGGATACAGTCTAGAAACACTGAATTGTTAGGCAATTTTGTTACTATGCAGACTTGATAGAGTGTACTTACAGAAACCTCAGTGGTTTAGCCTAGTACACACCTAAGCTACTACTCCTAGGCTACAAATCTACACAGCATGCTACTCTACTGCAGGGATCCTCAAACTTTTTAAATAGGGGGCCAGTTCACTGTCCCTCAGACCATTGGAGGGCTGGACTGTGGGCCCCAGGACAAGTCAGCTGCTAAACAGGACAGGCAGCAGCACCAAAAACACCCAGCAGGCCAGGTAAATGTCCTAGGCGGGCTGCATGTGGCCCACGGGCCACAGCTGAGGATGCCTGCTCTACTGAATACTGAAGGTAGCTATAACACAATGGTAAATGTTTGTGTATCTACACATCTAAATATAGAAAAGGTACAGTAAAAATACAGTTATTCTAGTCCTATGGGACTACCATATTATATATGGTTCATCATTGACTGAAACAACAGGCATAATTGTATATCCATATATGGTATAGATATGCATATAAGTACACCACATTTTCCTAATAAATTAAATCATTAATGGACATTTTGGTTGTTTCCATATCTTAGCTATTGTGAATAATGATTCAATGAATATGGAGTGAACATAGAAGTATCTCTTTGACATACTGATTTCATTTCCTTTGAAAATTACCAAGAAGTGAGATTGTTCTTTACCGTCAACAATGTACAAAAGTTCCCTTTTCCCTTTTCTCCACATCCTCTCCAACACTTGTTTTGCTGTAAAGATGAGGGCTCATCCTGCTACCCAGGCTAGTCTCAAACTCCTGGTCTCAAGTTATCCTCCTGCCTTGGCTTCCTGAGCAAAGTGCTCAGATTATAGATGTGAACCACCATGCTGGGTCTCAGATTCTTTCTTTCTTTTTTTGGAGACAGGATCTTGCTCTGTCACCTAGGCTAGTATGGAGTGGCATGATCATATTTTGTTGCAACCTCCAACTTCTGGGCTCAAGTAATCCTCCCATGTTAGCCTCCTGAGTAGCTGGGACTACAATCATGTACCACCATGGCAAATTAATTTTTCTTACATTTTCTGGAGAGACAGGATCTCTCTATGTTGTCCAGGCTAGTCTTGAACTCCTGGCTCCAAGTGAGCCTCCCAAAGCATTGAAATTGTAAGTATAACCACTGTGATCAACTCTAAATGTGTTATTTTTTTTGCTATTCTGATAAAAGCCAGTCTAACGAATGTAAAGTAATATCTCATTTTTGTTTCGATTTTCATTTCCCTGATGACTAGCGAAGTTGAACACCTTTCCATATACCTGTTGGCCATTTGCATGTCTTCTTTTGAACAAAGTCAAATCGGGTTCTTTAATCATTTTTTAATCAGTTTATTTGGGTTTTTGTTATTGAGTTCTATAAGCTCCTTAGATATTTTGGACATCAACCCCTTATCATCAAAGAGCACAAGAATAAATTAAAACATCTTCTCTCCCCAGCATGCATAATTCCCTCTAAGCTGATAGCCTTCTCATGTCTCTTCAATCAACATTCCATGCTATCTCCAGAGAGTTAAGTCTCCTTACATCAAAGTCTTATTCTCTCACCTCCTTCCTCTGTTCCTATTTTCCATCCTCAATCTAAAAAGATAGGTAATTGCTCACCTGGGTCAAAGTCCTTATCTGTGGGCACACTTTGGGAATTAGGTTATTCCGAAGGTCTAGAGTCTTCAAGCTAGGCAATTTTTCTAATGCCGAAGGCATCTTTCTCATCTTCTTCCCATTCAAAGTAATGATCTTAGTGTTACCACCTTTTAATGCTATAATTAACAACTTCTCAGTCATGATCTTGGAAGAGAAGTAGAAAATGAAGAAGGTTACCATTAGGGATTAGTGTTCTTATTCGGTTTTAGAACCTCTAATTGCAGAATTGATGTGTCATGGAAACAAAAACATTCTGAGATCACCATGTTGTATGGGGGAGGAACTAAATGGTTTTCTATGTAAAAGGTAAGGAGAGGAAATATCTGGTCCAGGTTTGGGGCAGGAAATGTACACGATAAGTCTAGGTTGCCTTATGCCAGAGACATGGAAGTTAGCAAAGACCAATGAAATCACATCAAAAGTACACAGAAGCCAACTTCTAGGAGCTCCCAATAGTCTAAGATGAAAAATATTGAGGATCAGAAGAAATAACCTACAGTGGACTAAAACACATCAAAACATATTAAAATTTAAGAGTTCACAAAGCGTTTTTAAAAAGCATCAATCACACTGGGAGTTGCTAGGGCATCGTATCAGTCTCAAAATTGATAAAGGAAAAAAATGAAGCATTACTCTGCTCTTCCAGTACAAACTGCATGTCACTATAAGCTAATAATCAAGCTATTTTCACAGAGGAATTGAAGTTAATAAATAAGATGAAAAATAGAAAAAAATCACTATTTCTCCAAATTCTAACAAAATGATGTATCTATGCATAAGTCATAATTGGATGCTGAAAGTATTAGATTAAAGGTTGGTGAGGAACTTCATAAATAAACCATTAAGGTGATAACCCACTAATCAATTTTGGCATTGTTAAAATTGAGAGAATCACATGTTATAATAAGCTTTATGAAATGATGCGATAAAAAGTACATATGAAATGTTCTTTATGTAAGAAATGTTCACCTAAAAATGTCATTAATAAAAAGGAAAGGAAACTGTTATGGAGTAAACTTAAGACAAATAACCACTAAGTGTAATATCTGGACCTTGTTTGAATCTTATTTGAATAAAAATACATTGAAGTCACTCAGGGAAATCTGTTCAGGTATTAGGCAATAGGAAATATTCTGTTGTGTGTGAAAGTGATGTGATGGTGGCTTTTATTTTTAAATCTGCTTAACATTTAGAAACACATACTGAAATTTTCAGGTGAAATATAATATCTTGGGTTTTCAGTAAAGCAATACAGGAGAGGGTAAAAAATTGGGTAGAAGAAAACAAACAGAGCCAATAATCAAAATACATTAAATTTTAATGCTGAGTTAATAGGTACACAGAGTCATTACACTAGTCTCGTTATTTTTGTATATATCTAAAAAGTTCCAAGTAGAAAACTGAAATAAAGATAAAAAGGAGAGGAGAGAGGAGGAACTGTAGCCAGAGATATCTGATTATTATCACAACCCTATTTGCACCCAGATATGATGAGGCCTGGAAGTATTTGAGCTGATTTCCAAAAACTTGAACATTATAAAATACATTCTGTGCTGGAAGTACTCTGAATGCAAATCAATCCTTTCTCTGGAATTCAAAAATCACTGCATTCATTTATTCAACTAATATTTACTGAGTACTTATTATATGCCGAACAGTGTTGCAGGCACTGGGGACAGAGGTATGAATGAACAAAAAAAAAAAGAAAGAAAGAAATAAAAAAGAAAAGAAAAACCTGCTCTCAGGGAAATTACATCCTAGTGGGAGAAGAAAGACACTCAAGATAAACAATCAAATTCAGTATGTTATATTGAGATCAGGACCAACAAAAAATAAGAAATCAGAAAAGGGGAGCAGGGATTATGGGAAGTGAGATAGTTACAAGTTTAAATAGGATGACCAGAGAGGCTACAGAGACCTCTCTGAGACCAGACCTTTTCCAGTAAGAGTGTAAAGTAAATGCCAAAGTTATAAAAAAGGTTTGTTAAATCTGTAAAGGTATTATAATGAATACGATATCATCATAACAGTAAAACAGGAGGTGTTGATTAAGTGATATTCAGTTTCTAAAGTGATAGATAAAATAATTTTTCAGCTTCTTAATCATTGCTCTTTGACTTATCTCTTCCAAATCTACCTTTCAGCTGCTTTATTCTAATATTATTTTAGCTTGCTAAGAATAATAAAGCCATTACTATCTAAATAAACTGATAAGGATTTAAACAAAATTTCATGATAATCATCATCTCTAAGGTAATTATTATGTGGCTAGCACTCAACAGACACTGTTCAAACACTGGCAATTTGTTACTGACCTAAGTGGGTAGACAGGGCCACTACAATCCAACCCTGCAATCTGTTACTTTGCTAATTAAAACATTCTAGATTCAAGCAAAAATGGCAAACCTCTGGGTTACCTCTTCTGCGTTCCTTCCAATATGCAATAAATACTGTTAATATCACCAGCTTCAGTTATCTATCACTGGGAAACAAACCACCACATAACTTAATGGCTTAAGACAAGATTGATTTATAAATCTTTATTTGGGCAGAGCTTGCTATGATTGGTGATGGCTGTAGCAGCTCAAGGGCTGCGGATGAATTCATCTAAAGGTTAATTTACTCATATCTGGGATAGACGCTGGTTGTTGGCTAGGACCTAATGGAGGTCACCCTATTCATGTAGCCTCTTCAATGTGTCTTGGGCTTCCTCCCAACATGGTGGCTTGGTTCTGAGGGAGAGAATCTCAAGAGAAAGAAGATTGGAAGCTGTATCACTTTCATGACCCTGCTTCAGAAGTCATGCAGCATCACTTTTGCCACATTCCTTTCATTAGAAGCAAGTCACCGTGGCCAGTTCATATTCAAAAGAAGATAAATTAGACTGCTTCTTGATGGAAAGTGATCAAAAATTGTGGACATTTTTCTAAAGTCCACCTCAGCCCACCCTATATCCATGAGCTATTTACAATTCTCTTACAGGAAAAATACAGACACAATCTCCTAAGAATCCTCTTCCCCCAAAGTTACATCTATTTAGAGCATCCATATCTAAAGACCTTGTCATCTAATTTAGGTCCACAGGTGGACACAGATCCTCAGGGATAGTCCCTTCAGTCCAGTTTGAGTATAGTTCATTGATCTGAAGATCTATGAACTAAAGAGACAAGTTATTTGTCTCTACATACCAAGATTATAATAATGAGTGAAACACAGGGCAGACGATAGTCCCTTTCAAAAAAAAAAAAAGAAAAATCAAACAAAGTAGCTACTGGTTCACAGCAATCTGAAATCTAACTAGACACATGTGATTGATTAGGGCTTAATCCTACTGCTGAGGGTTAGCTCTTGGTTCCCTTCTTTGGGCTCTTGCTTCTACCTTCTGCATTTCTTTCCTTTTCCATAAAGGGTAGGTAACCCATGTTTGCCAAGTAGTTTCCTCAGACTGCTTTCTGTCCACAGAAGTTCAAGGTTCCAAAGGCCTCTCTTTATTTTGTATTTCCTCCTCTTCTTTTTTTTTTTGGCCAGGGCCGGGTTTGAACCCACCACCTCTGGTATTAGGGGGCCAGCACCCTACTCATTTGAGCCACAAGGGCCGCCAGTTCTTCTTCTTCTTCTTCTTCTTTTTTTTTTTTTTTTTGGGTAACAGCTTTATTGAGATATAATTCACACATCATACTATGTAGCAATATAAAGTGTACAATTTGGCTAAGCACAGTGACTCACACCTGTATCCCAGCACTTTAGGAAGTCAAGGCAGGAGTTCAAAACAAGCTTGCTCAATACAGTGAGACCCTATCTCTACAAAATTAGTTGGGCTTGGTGGTGCACACCTGTAGTCCTAGATACCTGGGAAGCTAAGGCAGAAGGATCACTTGAGCCCAGGAATTGGAGGCTACAGGGAGCTATGATCACACCACTGTATTCCAGTCTGAGTGACACAATGAGGTCCTGTAAATAAAAAAAGACGGCATAAAATTCAAGGGTTTTTGGTATATTCCCCAAGTGTATACCATCACCACTATCAATTTTAGAACACTTTCATCAGTGCAGAAGAAAGCCTGTAGTCTTGGGCAATCACTCTCCACTCCTCCCACCCACCCCAACCCTAGGCAACCACAAATCTACTTTTTATATCTAAAGATTGCATCTGTAGAGGCATTTTATAGATGGTAGATGGAATTGTACAATGTATGGTCTTTTATGACTGGCTTCTTTTAGTTAGCATAATGTTTTCAAGTTTCATCCGTGTTATTGTGTGAACTGTACTTCATTTATTTTTAATCCAGATAATATTCCATTATATGATAAAGTACATTTTACATTTCCATGTATCAATTGATATTGATGTACATTTACAATGTTCCTTTTGGGGGGCTATTATAAAAAATGTTACCATGAACATTTGTGTCCAGTTTTTTGTGTAGACAAGTTCTGATTTCTCCTGGGTATACACATGGAGGGGGCTCTGCTGCGTCGCATGGTATCTCTCTGTTTAACCTTCTGAGGTTTTGCCAGGCCATTTTCCACAATGGCTGCACCATTTTACATTCCTCCTGACAGTGCATGAAGGTTTCTCTTTTTATTTTATATAATCTTTTTCAATCCAAACTGATAAAAGCCCTTTTAAAAACTTTGTGGATTTCATTTGAAATAGCTTATGATTCACTCTATCAGACAAAACCCATACCCACAAATCGCTTTCAGATGGCCATCCTTTACCCTGGGTTCCCTTGTGAAGCTGATGAGGGACAATATCAGAAAGATTTTTAGAAGCCCTGATGTTTGTTGATGAGACAGGATCTTTACTCTTGCTGAGTTCTTATTCCTTCAGTTTCTTTAAAATATCACCAACAGCCTCCTGTTCACGTTTTCTTCCGAGCTCTTCTAACTAACACTCAAGGCCCAGTCCCCAAACTCCAACTACAGGAGTTAGGTTATTTTGTTGTAGTAGAAAATTCTGTGTCAAGATTCACTTTAAAAACATATAACAAAACAATTAAGAATAAGATTTTTTATAGGAATTTGACTTTATGTAACTGTGGGAGCTGGACAAGCCATCTATATATAGCTGTTGCCTTTTTTTCTCATCAGACTCCTGAGCACTGACAGCTATTGCTTTTGTGTGAGGTGCTTTGCCT